GTCTTTATTTTTGGAGACTAGTTACGACTGTCCCTGCCACCCTTTGGTTCTTCCAAATCTGTCTCTTTCTTTTTCCAGTTCAGAACCCCCCCCCCCCCAAATATCTCACCCCCTTGTTCAGAGCACCCACTTTGTCAGTGTATATATATTTATGTATACTTTGCTTAGTCAAGAGCTGTGTTTCAGACACAGAGAGTTAGAGGTGTACATGCTCAAAGATTCAAACTTTCCTTTTGTTTCTTCTGCATAAGAGCTTCTAAGATCTACCTTAGTCTTGAACCCCTCAGGGGTTTTCTGGGGCAAGAAAAGATTCCATTTTCTTTAAAGGGTCTTTGAGTATTCAGTCTTTACTAATGGTAGATATGTGGGAATCCAGTCAGGTAAAAAAATGGCCTTTAACTTTTTCTGTCTGAGTAATTTGTCACCATATTATGTCTGCACAATTCTTGAACTGTGCTTTCATCTGAAAACAGTGGAAAAGTTGCTGCTTTAAGCATCACTAGAACTCGCTGCAGTCTAATGCAACAGCAGTTATTGGTAATGAGATAGTGGAAATAATTAACAAGTTCCAATTTTGGTTTCTTGGAATGTGCTAAGAATCTAAGATGATCTGTTTATTTACAGAAGTTAGAGCACAAAGATTGGATTTTGGGCATACCCATCTGAAAATGTCTTGGATTCAACATAGAAAAGGTGGTGCCTTTGCATATTCCCCTCATCTATCTCCCCCATCTCATTCTTCATTTGGTCCAACTTCTAATCTTCACAAAGAACCAGGCCATTCATCCTCTTCTGGTAACAAAATTAGTCCAGCTGTTCTTATCATTATAGTCATATTAGCTGTTATCTTTTTCATATCAGGTTTTCTCCACTTGCTTGTTAGATTTCTTATCAAGAAACCTTCTTCAGCTTCACCACAAACTAATGGTAACCTTGAAATTTCTACCTCCGAGGCTCTGCAAAGACAGTTGCAGCAGCTTTTCCATCAACATGACTCTGGTTTGGATCAAGCATTTATTGATGCATTACCTGTCTTTGTTTACAAAGAGGTTATGGGTCCTAAAGAACCCTTTGATTGTGCTGTTTGTTTGTGTGAATTCTCTGACAAGGACAAGTTGAGGTTACTGCCAACTTGCAGCCATGCTTTCCACATCAATTGTATAGATACTTGGCTCCTAACAAACTCAACGTGCCCGCTATGTCGAGGAACCCTTTTCGAACCCAGATTCTTATCTGAGAGTCCAATTTCTGATCTTGATGACCCTAAAGAAGATGACAGATGTCGTGTCAATAGAGATCATGGGTTATCTGCTGCTCAGAAAACAATTGATATAGAGGAAAGTGCAGTTGATATAGCAACCTTTCCTGTGAGACTTGGTAAGTTTAGAAAATTGAATGTTGGGGCAGAGGAGGGAGAAGGAGAGACTAGTAGTAGTAATTTGGATGCAAGGAGATGCTATTCATTGGGCTCGTATCAGTATGTGGTTGGTGATTTTAATCTTAAGGTAGACTTGAGCAATGAGCAAAATGCGTGCAATGTGAAGCTTGCCAAGTTGCGCGAACGGTGTGCCAATTTATCAGCCGAAGGGGATGGTGAGGGGAAAAGGATAAGTATTGGAACGAAGACTGATAGTTACTCTTTTTCCAAGATTTGGCTTTGGCCGAAGAAGGGAAAATTTGCAATTTCTTCAGAATGCCAAATGGAGAATCTGCCTCCTAATATGGATTTACCATGTGTTGCAAAAACAGAAGGCAATTAACGGATATTCTGATTTGCTTCTCTTTGTTGATCTTTCTGTTATCTGATGGCATAGAGGTTAGTCCCTTAGTTTGGAATTCTCTGAGATGCTGTATGAACAAAGTGCTAACAAGCTCGACAGTACAGTTGATGGCTTTTGTTTTATTTTTTGTCTCTTGAAGTCCTACAAAATATAGTTCATGTTTTATCTATTGATTCTTGAAATGCTATTACTCTATTTTACGACTCACATGACATTGGTTTGTTTGCTGCATCCTGATAATTTCAGCTGTCAAATTTACTTCATAACAATGTAGTTGAGAAGCATTCATATAGTAATAAGTTTGAGGTGCTATCTAACCCATGAGAGCTAGGATCAGAGTTGATGTACAATATCATTGTCGGTGTTATGAACAACCTTTAAAAATGACCAGAATTGGAATATAGCCCATTTAGAAGTGTCTTGTGCTCGACCACAAAAAGGTCATATTCCCAAAACTATGAAGAAAATACAACGGTCAGAAACAGACGCTTGGGCTGTTGTTCTCCAATCAATATTCTGTAATCTACTATTTCATATTACCTTTCTTTTCTGAACACAGTGAGTGTCAGAGAAGTGAAACTCCACTAGGTTATCTTGATTCCTAGAAAATAAAAGATTCTCTTCTTTTTCCTGAAGCATCTTGATAGTGTTGCTTCGATGGCCTTTATCTGTGGTCTTCAGTTTCTTTTTCTTGTTTTTCATTGGATGAAAGGGGCATGGGGTAGGGGTGTTTGACCACAACCTTTTGTGTTGAGACAGTGGTGGGATCCAAAGCAGTGTGATTACCTTTGCTGAAAATCAGTGGCATCACTTATGGGTAATTTCACTTTATTGAAATATGACCTAGTTAGAAACCATCTCTATTTTTCTTAAAAAATTCCAGAAGTTGTGCTGGTAAGTAACATTAATCACTGTTCCCTTTCCATATGTAGTTGAAGCAAATGGATTCTTGTCTCCTTATGTGGTCTTGGGCAATTTTCACTTCATAAGTTAACTTTTGCGATGAAAGTATTCATGATCAATGCAGTTAGTAACATGAAAAATAGGGCAGTAGCTGTGTACATCAGGTTAATTTGCACTAACTGTGTAAAAATGCATTCAAAATTTCAAGTGGATAGAAGATAAATTCTCTAAATTTTAAATAATCTTCCACCCTGCCTGCCAACTATCCCTACTGAGTGGTTTTTGAAGAAATATACTTGCGCTATTGAGCTTAAATTCTTTAATGATAAGCCTATCAAAAGAAAAAGAAAGTTGTTATCAGATGACACCTAAAAGTGCCTGCAAGAATTGCTACATTATTTTCCAGTGTAGTTCAATTAATATCTTTAGGTGATACTTTATATAAACCAACTAGAAGCCTAGAGTCCTGCACAGCACTACGCATATGATCAGATATCTGATTGAAGACACAAATTTATTTCTTTACAAAGGTAGCATACTCCCACAAGAAAAGCACAAATCAAACCTGTCTTGTTGCAGTTAGTTCAAGAATCAGCTCGTTCAATGCTTGCCAGGATGATCCCCCTTCTTTGACTGCATTAATGGCTGCTTCCCCGATTTCCTTCACTTTCTTCCTTGCCTCTTTACCTTTCTCTCCTTCCATTAATTCCCTTATCGGCTTTTCCAAACCTTCCCACTTCACGAACCCTCTCACTGAACCATCGCATGTCTCGACCCTTAGTGCAATCTTGATTTCCTCCACAACCATCCTTGCATTTAAATGTTTCTCCGCCATCATTGGCCATGCTAGTATTGGCACCTTTGCACATATGCTCTCTACCACCGAGTTCCAGCCGCAGTGGCTTAGAAAACCTCGAACACTCCTGTGGCTCAGGATTTCTCTCTAATCAACCCACTCTGTAACCACCAGTCCCCTGTTTTTCACTCTGTTTTCAAATCCATCATTGACTTCTGCTAGATTTCTCCTGACTACCCACAAAAAGCTCACTTCCGATTTCTCCAAACCAATTGTAATTTCCTTGTATTGTTCAAAAGATACTTGCGCTTGGGTGCCGAATGCCACGTACAAAACTGATTTTCCCTGTTCTAGCATTCCGTCAAGCCATTTGATGTACGAAGGTTTCTCTAAGCTTTCCGATTGTGCTTTTTGTGGCTCGATCGCTGCACAAAATGGTCCAACGCACACTGCTCTTGGACTATATTTACTATTAAAATGGTCCACATAAATAGACTCAAGCTCGTAGAAATTGTTAATAAGTAGAGCATAGCTTTTAGAGTTGGCAATGCTTTGCTCAACAGCAAACTCAAAAAAGAGACCCTTGGGTTCACGCTCTCTGAAGGGTGAATCAAAGTCATTTCTCGTGAGCTTAATCCAGGGGAAATCAGGGACTGGAAAAGGCTCATCATCGGACAATTCTGTCCGAAGAAGTCCACTGGAGGAACGAGACACTGCCATGGAAAAAGTGCTAATTCCATAATAAGAGAGTCTTGGTATACCAAATTTGTTTGCAGAGTCTAAAGTTCATCCGAGGAATCCATCAGTGATCATGAAAGTAACTGACGGAAGAGATTCTAAGGCCTTTTCGAAATTGGGTTTCATGAATTTGGTGGCGCTAGCAAAGGTAGCAAAAAGAGAAATGGAGGGAAGTTTATCAGTACTCTCCACACCTGCGGGAATTCCTTGTATGTTTTCAGGAAAAGGGATGTCGGAGATATTTATGTTTGTGTCGGAAAGGGAATTGGCGAAGAAAGGGCGATTTGCAGGAGTAGTGAAGATGGTGATTGAAATTTTGCGAATGAGTAGAAGGCGAGCAAGATCCAAGATCGGAATAATATGGCCTTTGGACATGAAAGGGAATAGAACAACGTGAATAGAAGAAGCCATTTCTCTACACTCTTCTTGTCTGCCCTTGAGCTTCTTCATGTTTGATGGCTAAAGCCATTTCTCTGCGCACTTTCTGCCACTTCGATTTAAATATTGGGCACAGCCCCTACCTTCCCATCAGCTTAGTATTAAAATAACTTATCTACAGTTTTTATATATATATATATATATGTATATATATTGTTTTGAAGGGTGCATTACCCTTGAATCCGATACCAACGGGTATAACCCCCAAAACAACGTTCTCTTTCAGGTCTTTCAACCAATCGATACTACCCGAAGAGTTGCTTTTGCTAAAACTCGAGCAGTTTCTTGAAAACTTGCTTCAGATATGAAACTGTGTATTGAGAGCAGGGGCAAATCCAGTGCATTAGGTACGGATTCCCGTAAGCCCAATAACTTTTGTCTAACTCCTGTATTCTTATTAAAAAATTAATTAAATGTATAAGACTATTTAGCTTGGAACTCAGTCCGTTAATCTAGTTATTATTGTATATTAACTTGAGATTGCTGCGGGAACCCACAATCTTAAAATACTGGATCCGCCTCTGATTGAGAGATGCTCTTGTTATTNATATATACATTTTTTGCTGAAATGCAATTATTTATTACTACATGATCAGATCGCTAGCATTCTTTTGGGAACGGTTTGTAGCTTTGCAACTGGTTTTTTCGCTTGTCTAAACCCAGAAAGAAAAAAAAAGGAAAAAAAGAAGCATGGGCTTGATCAACAAGGCTCTATTATATTGATAAGACATGCAGTTATTAAAATTAAAATATACTTATTCTCTGCCTAAAATATTATCAACTAAATGCTCAAACTATAACCAAGCAACAGAAATTCATGCAATATTTACTATTATAAAGTTATTTAGAAAAAGTAAATCTAAGACTTTAAAGTTTTTTTTTTTTTTTTTTTTTTTTGGTAAACTGGATATATTAATATATTAAAGACGTTCCTCACAAAATGACATCATTAGTAAGGGAATGTGAGTTCCCTTGAGTAGTAGCATTAACAAAAATGGATCAATATTACAAACCTTGATTTTCTTTTTAAAAAACAGTTCCTAAGATGTCTGCCCACACTGTTTTGTTAGCAAACACAGGAGGAACTGTCAAAAACTGTGTTCTTTCAAAGCTTCCCTTCTTAGCTCCTTCCTTCGCGAGGAGATCCCCCACTTGATTCTGTTCCATGTATCTATGCCCTATGCCAATTGCTCCATCATTGACCTGCAATCATAGATTATGGGATTGTGAGTCAAGTTACCATTTCTTATGTTATGCAACGCCTTCCTGATGATCTTTGGAAGGGCAACGTAAGGCTAAG